ACGTAAACTAAATAAGCCTCCAACTGCAATCGGCTGGCGAAATGCATTGTTACAGTGTCGGAGTGGCCAGTTACGTTTCACGTTTTACTTACACGGTATTTCAAAGTTTAAAATTTTCAAAATGTCAAATACTGATACGGCTGAAGAAACTGATAATTTGTGTCCCCACAATCCATCTAAAAATTTTTTCTATACCAGCTGCATATTTATCAAAAATAAAATAAATTTCGGTCATACCTTAGTGCGACTTTGTACAAGCAGCCTTGACTGGGAGATCACGTGCACTATGCATGCTAATGTTTTGCTCAGATGGACAGATTATAACCATCTTAAGGATCATCAGTAATGAGTTTATGATTGGAATTCAGTCAAAAATACCTCAATTTATCATGTATACCGATGTGTATTTCTGTATATTTATCAATTCTGTATATTTTGAAAATATGTGTCGTATTTATTTGCATTATCTACATATCATCAAATGATATTTATAAAATTATGAAAATAATTATTATTTTTCAAGGACTTTGACACTTTTTTGTTCAGTTTTGCATTATGCTATTTTTCAATTATCTTTACAATTGGAGAAAGTCAGAAATGAATTCTTGAAAGTTTGCTTCTTATATTTTGTCATTGTTTAGAATATTGACCTTATGATGAAATGGATTTATTGAAAATTACTTTTTCTGACTCTAGTACCGACAAATACTTTCCCGATCAAGATATTTTAGTAAGTATGTTCAGGTAGCGTAAAAATGCAGGAAAAGTTTTTTAAAATCCTTGTGTGCTCTCGTCAACATTCGTTTGAAACACGTACCCTGCATCATTCCGCACACTGCGATTACAACGTTTTACTACCGACTGAATTTGTTTTTCTGAATGCGTAAAAAACGTCTCGCAAATGATGATCAGCAATATGATGATGTTCCCATAATACGTTCTTTCTGACGTTGTATAGAGCAATCCATACCTCGTGACCCAATATGGCGGCGTAGGGCAAACAATCTGATTATTGTCGTAAGAGCATCATTGGTTTTGGTGTCGTTCGCTATTGTGGAGTGTTTATTCACATTTTTTGAGTTTTTGTGGTGTTTAAATTCAATCAAAATGGAAAGTGAATACTTGAAATCACTATTGCTGAACATCAGAGACGTTGCTAAACGGTATGTTCGAAAAAATACACCATCATCTGTTTACATTTTTATCATTGTTTTACAGATATGTTATATCTCACTTTTGAAATATAAGTTTTTAAAAATTATTTACTTTGAAAATGGGGAAACAGTACTGACTTCCCCTGAGTTACAACAATACAATATTATTCGTCACTAACTTGAATGTAAGTCTGACAATCTGTAACTAACTTATTTCGTCACGCAGGACGGTATTTATAGGAAAATATTGTTTACATGTTCTAAAAATGAAATAAGAGGAAGAAGAGTCTTTGTGTCGTTTCGAAGAGTTGCGTATATGCAGGTGTTGATTCTGCAGCATCAGCGTTGACATTGGATCTTGTTTACTTCGAGTCACCTTGGTTATGAATGGAGAAGGTCAATAAACAACATATAACAGATATATAATGAAGTTGAGATTGGTCAATGGTTTAGATCCTTTCTCATTGAATGTTCCTAATCTGGATTATTAAATTGATGGTGTTCCTCCAGGTACCTACATATGTGGATATTGCTTCGTATTTAGTTTTTACCCACAACTTTTATTCGCATGTACAAATGAAGGCATATGAAGGTTTGGAATCCTATAAATATTTCTAATCTAGATTCGTTGTGAAGGTGGGAACAAAGATTGAGAACAATTTATAAATTTTAGTTGGACAGGTGAGTTTTTCTAAGCTAGCAGTATGCTAACTTTCTGATTTCCTAATGGTATAGTCAATTCATATAAGAAGCAATACACGTGAAACTGTGTGTATCCACGATCAGCTATACCTGTGACTTTTTATGTTTATTGTCTTCTTTGTTGATCAAGAAAATGATTCAATTTCTCAGAGTGATTCTTACAGTAGATACTAATCTTAATAACTTATTTTCAGGTCAAGCATTCACAGAAAGCAAATGTGACACCTTTAGATGTTTGGTACATCATAGCAAAAAATGGAACCGTATGTATGTACAGCTCACTGTACTTTCATGGCCGGAAACAGGGAAGTATGTAATCACGATGGCACCGTATTATTTGCTGCTGATTATGCAAATACCAAGAAAGCGGCAATGTCATGCACAGACATAGGAGCTGTGTGGCCAAACGCATCCATGACACAGATAGTCCCAATTGTACCAGTACATAAAACGGATTGCAAGTTTATAATTACTATGGATTTTCATCAAGTAACGGCAGTCAATTGAAAATATTGTTGAACTTGTTTTGTATGAAAAGCTCTATTTTGAGTTTTCTTGTGATATGTTTATTGTCTATGTTTTTATTTAATAAATGTGCAGGCCTTCCTAGCGAACAACATTCTCGGATCGATGAATCAAATATGGTTTAAATGTATCTACTAATATATTTATGAATGAATTAATGTTAAAGTTCATTATTATTTTCATTTCAATTATATGTATGTGAATTGAAAAATATTGCAGCAGTAAACGTTGCCCTAGCCATTCGCAACGTTCTGTGTATACCAAACCAAATTATTTGTATACTCCATTCCCACTTATATTTTTCAACTCACGATATTGAAAACACATTACCATTCCCAAAACTAATCGCCGTCACTTTGAAATGCAATCTCCAACTCTTTTCGCCAATTATGTCTCACTGATAATGCCGTCTCATAAAGTTAAGTCGACTCCTCAAGCTCTGCCTGAGCTTGCATTCTCGAACGTTGATTGGATTGATTATCTTTTTACAATTTTTGAACGGAGTTCATCTGCATCTTCACACATTTTTGCCAATTCAACCTTCGCTAATGCAATCTTGGCATCTAATGCTTGAAGAGTTTCCTTATTAAAATTAATAGCTCGCTCATTCTTTTCAAGTTCAGCAGTAGCCATCTGTGCCTTTACAAAGCGACATTTTGCTTTTTTTTTCATTTCTCCAAACCGATGTAGTGGACTGAATGAAGATAGCGATTCAACTTTCAAATCACCCTTTATTTCTTTAGGTACACCTTTTGGCTTCCTCTTCGATCTGTAACTTTTCGTTGTGGGTTTTTTCTCTCGCACAACACTTTTTGATTGTTTATTTTCTTTGAAGTCGGTGACAATCGAAGATGCATTAGTAACCTTTCTCTTGATTGTTCTAGATTTTTTATCAACACTGAGGATACACTGCAAAAACACACTTTTGTCTATTTTCCACTATATTTCTTTATTGTTGACCGGTTTTGGCTATTACACCATTTTCAAAACTAACTGATTACATTCAAATCTGAGTAATTTATACCTATGTTGCTTATTCTATCATAAATGATTTGATATACCTGATATACCTGATACCCGGTACCTGCGTTTCATATACCTGTAAAATCCATGAACATAACAAAGCTTTCAATATAATGTAGGTTTTGGGATCTGGATTATACGTTCAGGAGAGGACTATCATTTAAATCAAGTTGTTCGTTCAGGACAATAGAATTGGGATTTTTCTTTGACCTGTTTATTTCCATAGATTTCAACAGATTCATCATTTTCCCTTTTTCGCATGTGTGTAGGATCTTTAAATTATCTTTATCTATTTTATGTTTCGAATTTTGAAGATGTTCGTATATTAATGATTTTTTATCCGAAATGACATGTTCGTGGTACCTTGTATCAAAATTTCTCTCAGTTTGGCCTGTATATATGGCGGGGCATTCACCACATCCAATCATGTTCTATAATGAACAATATATTTTCTTTCATCATTCAAATTGGGAATTAATTTGGGAATTTTCGATTGTGTACGAGGTGGTATTAATTTTTCAACTAAAAATGGAACATCAGAATGTTTATCATGCAACTCTTGTGGATAATGAATATCCACTTCGAACACATACCCATACGGACTATCAGCACTCACATTCATCACATCAAAATTAAGAATTTCATTAGGTGTCAACCATGTAAATTCACTTGTTGGTAGAGGTTGTGACATACTATGACCGTATAGATTTGTTGCATCTAAATATGTAATGAATGTGGAAGGTTCATTGGGATTAAAATTTGGTACAAATTTATTATTTGCTATATGTTTCCTCTCATTACAGTGACTAATTCCACCTCGTATACTTTTTTGAAAAAAGTGAATCATATCAATGTCAGTTAGTAATTCCAATTCAATATTCATATACTTCAACATAGCATACCAAGATAATTCAGGTGCAGTGTAATAATGTGCTGGATCTAAGTTATAAATCTCCAAACTTGTGGTGCAAAAGTTTTCAAAAATATCACATAATAGCAATACATCCGACTTCAAATACAAATCAGAGTATTCACCCAAATTCTGACACTCTAATAAATTCCATACATTTCTAGCCCTATCATAATCATTTTCTGATATATGTTCACAACTGATTTTGTCACAAAACTGTTTTTTTTCGTTGGAAGTGATGGATAATTCAATTTGTCAATGTCATCAATGAAACTATATGGAAATACATCTTTCTGTCTCATCAAATTGAATTTCTCAATTTGTGGGAAATGTTTATGCATCTCCAAACATTGATCAGAGGTCAAGTTAGCACCCAACTTCTCCAACGAATTAGTCATAAATTTAAAACTATCGATAAATCTCATTTTGAGATATTTCTTCTTAACCTTACCATCTTTATCGGTAATTATATCCCTTTTGTGATCTCCTGATACACAAATGATAATTTTCTGAAAAATGTATTCATGAATTTATACATTTGGAAATATTCAATGCATCTAGTCAAGAATAATAATGGCGTCAAAATTTAAACTAAATCTTGAAAAAATATGTGTACTTACAACTTTTTGACAATTACTTATGATATTCAAAACATGACTGAACTGATAAACGTTCCGTAATAACCGGTCTCTATATTAACGAAACGCTCATAAATAGCCACTTATTTGAAGGCAGCTGTCGATAGAGTATCATATCAATCGTAGTTATTGTTTATTTCAAAGTTCAGAATGAAAGGTGTTGCTGTATTTTTTGTAGTAATGGCCGTAGTTCACTCTATATTAGCTGGCCATCTCGGAATCCACGATGAACAAGGCGCTAAAAATATGGCGGATAGTAAGTTGATAATTTTTTCGAATATTTTGCATTTTGGAGAATTTACGATGAATATAGCGAATTATATTAAATGTTTCGATTTGTTAATTGATATAGGAAATTTTGTTTTACATAAAAAGTCCGGCGTAACTTGCCCCACTCTCATGGTTTTTAAGGAAAATTGTGACGGTAGTATCTTCAAAGCCATCCTTTCTTTACTGCTCTTAACTCAAGCATTTTTTTTTCATAAAATAAACATGTTGTTGAACATAAATACTTTGAGCGGTTTTAAGAAAAGTCTGTTATCTAACACCATTAGGAAAAGTATTTAAATGTGAATATCGCCATTTTAGGGACACTCAGGATAATGTATAAGTTGAATAAATGTATTGTGGAGTACTTGTAGATGTTGAAAGGGAAAAGAAAAATCAATGTATACCGGGTATGTTTTGAAAACGTATTCTGAAGCAATGAAAATGTGCTAATTCAAAGATGATTCATGAGTTCTAATTTAGTTTTCAGGAAGTTTCAAAGTAGACAACATTCTAAAGAACACAAAAAGTGATAACGCTAACATAATATTATTTCAATGGTACCAAATACAATACATTTTTTAAAACAATATACTATTCAAAAAAGATAGCCTTCTGTAATTTTTAGGTATTGGAAGGCAAAAAATTAAAAATTTGGCACAGCAATAATGAATTATATAAATACTTTCACATGAAGTATCGTAAGAGAAGGATACTCAGATTGATGTAGATTCAATCGTTATCAATCATATGTTACAGCGTTCTGAAAGTTGAAATAAATATTTTCATCAGATAAATATCACAATGAACAAGAATGATAACTGCAAATCAAACAAATCTGCAATGAGAATTGAAACGTATAACTCCAGAGAATGAATAAATATCGAAAATGTTTACCCATCAATGGTTAGATGAGGTTAAAAATATTTTCTATGGGTAACTGCAAATGATCATTATGCAGTTTAGTGAATCAAGAAATGAAATATACAGTGTTTTGTTTTTTACTCGGGATTCTCGACTGTATCTGTATCTGTAGAGTAGGGAGGGTGAGTGTAAGCCCACAGCACTTGGGCCACATGTGACCCATTGCACATGCTCCCGAAGAGTTGTCATCCTGTCCTTTCCAGGAAGGTGGACAGGTCACTGGAAGGTATCTTCTTTATATCGGCAAGTGAACGCCAAGACTCGCCGAACACACATCTTATTGACGATAACTCCGGGCACTCGAATAGGACATGACTGACAGTCCCATCTTCCTGTTCACACATCCTGCATAGAGGTGTGTCCACTAGCCCCATAATATGAAGGTGTTTCCTTAGTTGACAGTGGCCAGTCAGAAATCTTAGTGTTGAGCGTAGATTTTTCCTGGTCATCGCCAGATATTTCTTCGGCGCCAGCTTTCCAGGGTCGCCCAGGGTGATCCTGGCAAGACTGCATCCTTTGATTCCATCCCATCTCTTTAGGGATTGAGCATGGGTGTAACATTTGACTAGTTCCGCAATTGTCGAAGTCATCCGACCGTAGGTGCCACGGGGACCTGAAATTCTTAGTCCAGCCGCTTCCTTGGCTGAAGAGTCGGCAATGCGATTACTTTTACTCCTGTCGTGCCCTTTAACCCACCACAGGATAATGTTATTTGGTTAAATCTTAGTGGCACTCTAGTACTAGCCCTGAGGTAACACGTTGTCTGTTCAAGACTAATAGGGCTTGTCTGCTGTCAGTGCAGATTGTTATGTTTTGCCAGAAATTCCTTTCCTGGTTATTTTCTTTGTGGCGATTGAGATATCAGCCAGTTCTCTTTGGACCGTCATCCGTTAGGGCGTCGCGATACCGACGCCAATTTTTTCAAATGGTAACCCAGATTTTTCAATTTGTTTTTAGATTTTGCATCAACTTCTGATTTCAGCCATATAGCACACTTGTAGTTTCACTTGAATACTGACGAAAAAAGGCAATTTTATTGCATATTATGAAGATGGCCATGAATAAGTCAAAATAAATGCAATAACGTATTTATCTGTCAGAAAACCTGTCAGGGTTAACGAAAGTGTATTCAGTTTTGTGTTGGTTTCTCGTAAAACTGAAAATTGGTTTAATTTCCAAATACAGAAAAGTTAGATATAGTATCTATTTATGGTGAAGCAAGAAGGAATTAAAAAAAAGCAGTGAGAATATACACTGATTGTGATATTTCGAAATCGTCAAAACAATGTATTTTGCCAAAAAAAAAATTCCATCCATACAAAATACATCTGGTTCAAGGACTACTTCCAGATGATGAATCTTAATGTTTTATTTTTAATAACTATAATCTATTCTCATATTATTTAGGAGATGCTGATAGAAGATTGAACTTCATTGCATGATTATTCACCCATATTTGTAATGATGATCAGTTTCTGAACGAAAATATATGCCGTGATAAAAGCTGTTTCCATAACAACGGTATAATAAAACAAACATAATTGTCACCATTGGTCTGACGTGAACCCACAGTCTGTGTGGGGGTTGATATTTGGTGCGGAATCATTGATGGTTATTTGATAGAAGCTCATTTTTTCGAAGGAACTCTCAATGGGGAGAGGAACTTGATTTGTCCTCAACATGTGTTGCCGAATCTCTTGGAGAATTTACCAATACAAATTCGACTGAACATGTGGTTTCAACAAGATGGGTCACCTCCGTATGATAATAGAATAGTTACCCAATGTTTAGATGACACTTTTCATGAGAAATAGATTGGAAATAAGGGCCATGGCCAGCTCGAAGTCCAAATATTACTTCACTAGATTTTTTTTGTGAGGATATATTAAAGACTCAGTTTATAAGCGACGTCCACAAAATAGAGATGGATTGATAGTATCACAAATGTGTGTGCTTCCATATCGTGAGAGACGCTTTCAGTTGTCACGAATCGATAAGCGAGGCAGTTCGAATACAAACTAAAATGATTCATGTTATCACTAATTGTTTTCGTTATCATCATGCTGATCGAGTTATGGTTAAAGTAAAATATTTTTTGGTAATTTGAAACATTCATTTCAGTTATCTGCGATTTTGAAGAAACACACAATTAGATGAAATTGAACAGGCAATGCAACTATAACTGATGGATTTATTTTATTAAACTATTATTGCATTTATTTTGACTTACTCATGGCCCTCTTAAAAAATTGCCTTTTTTCATCAGTATTCAAGAGAAACTACAAGTGTGCTTCACTTCAATGTTTGAATTCAATGTTTGATGCAGAATCCAAAAACAAATTGAAAAATCTGGGTTACGGTTTAAAAAAATTGGCGTCGGTGTCACGACGCCCCAACCTAATGTAATTGAAAGTAGAGTTAAATTGAATTACTCAATATGAATTTATATCTTATTTGAGAAATGTCTTTTGGGCACTGAAATAGAATCCGTCGAGCATTCTGATATAACATATTTTGCAAAAAGTGCAGAAAGTAACCTATTCCATACGATGTGTGGAATGGGCAACGGTACGAGTAGCTCACTTTATACTTTTTCTACGATATATTTCTTAAACTTTCAACATATTTCACTCAAATGACCGCATATATTCATACTAACAATACCGCAGTTAGTGATATTAATTGTAGGTAGATCATCTTGAATTTTCACTGACTATTTTAGAAACAACCATGCTGGTTCGTTTTTAACAGATTGCAAGATTTTTTTTGTTTTTGACATTTTGACATTTTGACAGTGTCATGGATATATCCACCTACCACTGTGGTCGACTTGACATAAGAATGCGGCGGTGTTAGTATGGAATTTACAACTTTCTGGTTTGAAAAGTAGTACAGAATATGAAAGTTCCTATGTTGATCATAGAAAACTAAAGTTTTCTAGAATATTGAAAAAAATTGACCAGAATTTATAAATTCATAGGCTTTTAAGATATGTTTATGTGGAATATATTTCTTTCTTTCCTGAGAAAGAAAAAAAATGATAGCAATGTTAAAAACCTCTGATATTACATGTTACTTAACCATAGGCAGATCCAGCCATTTCCAAAGGGGGGCTGACCAAATGATAACTTTATCAATGACTCATAAGAATATTGTTTCGATTTTCCTAACTTTCATGCTGAATTAGGCCATATTTCCCGATAATTTTATCAATCTATGTAATTACTGAGGGTTTTATCTTTATAATTGTTCACACCTACATGCCATAAGAGTTGAGCTTGTAAGTGAAATTATTATGATGTACATAAACACATCTTCAATTTGTATGACCATAACATAAATAATAGAAACATTGATATAGGTAAATGGATATTATTAAAGAAATAATGCGACTATGTTTCATTATAGTTTCCATAGTTCATAAAGTTCATAGTTTTTACAGAATATTTACTTCAAATAACGAAGTATAACTATCTTTTCTTTCAATTTGGCGACTTCATCGACAGTCTTTTTTGGGTCGATTTTGTCTGTTATACCCCGATGAGCATTCGTGAGTGCTAATGATGGGAAGGACAAGCAGTGGCCCTTCCCTTTATTGAGAACGCTAGCCATACATAGTTTCCACGTCGAGTCCAATACCTATTCCTCAAAAAAAGTGCATTCGAGCCATTGTATTTTACCGTGAGGATACATAGATACTGTATTTCAATATATGCTGGTGAAAAATGAAAATAAGTTGATATTCCGTATGACAATAATTTTGAACTTTTTGAAAAATTCCAAACCAAAGGGAGGAAGCTGCAGTCTCTCTGGATCTGCTAATAGCCTTTGGCTATTACTGCTAACAACAGTTTTAGTAATAGTCCAGGTTTGACAGGTGACAAGAAACTAACCTATTGAATAATTCAAACTGTGATAAAATGAAGTTTGAGCACAGCAAGAATTTGAGGTCAAAAGCTTCTTTGTTTTACAAATAAGCAGATTTATCATCTCCCAAAGCAGCTACTTCGAAGTGAAATACCTAAGTATTGAGCAAACAGTTATCGTGCTTTACTATGCTTATTTTTCGAGAGATTATACCACCAGATATTTTTCCATTAAGAATAACGAATCCCTATTTTACGGTCTACAGCAGGTTCTCTTTGATGAATTTAATTCAAATCACCTTGATTAATTCACACATTGCTGTTAAAAGGTTATAAGGAAGCATGTAACTTGCTGTGGCTTGGCCAGTTGTTCTGAATAGGTTGTGTTCAAGAATTGAAATTAATCAGTTGATTCTTCTACATACAAATATCCAGATGTACGCAAAAACTGGACAATAACCGATATGACCCTAATGATAAATGGTCAACAAAAAAATAGTGGAAATATTAATATTTTCATAACCAGTAGAATAGTCAGCGAAAAAGCAGCATGTAGAAAGCATTTATAATGCAATTTGTGATATAACATTTCGTATACTCATCGCAGATCAATCTAGTATAGATCTATTTGATAGTTACCTTCACAAAATTTGATTTGTATACTTCCACACACTTTTGAAGATAGTTGCGTTTTCTTCTTTGAAAAATATATATATCAATAACACATCAACCTGAATGCATTCCATTGAAAAATAACATTTAAATTATAGTGTGTTGTTATTGTTGAGCGGTTATTTAAACCTTCTACGTCCACTAGTTAACAAATCAAAAACTTTTCAATTATCTTGTTACTGTGTTTGAAAATAGAAGTATTCATTCGATTCCTAATAATGCCTGGAAAAATGTGAGAAAGCTCGAATCTGCTCACAAATGAATACTGCAAAAGTTGTATACATGTATAACTATTCCAAATAAACAATTCATTTTGTACTATTGAAAAAAATATAATTTCAAAAAAATTGTGGTAATATCTAGAAACGAGATTCTTTTTGATAGCAATCAGATTGGGCTATCAACTTTCAGTTGCTATAAGATATTATTCATAATTAAATTATTTGTTCATTGAAGCCGAATAAAATTACTGCTGAAAACCCGAAATGAAAGTGTTGCATACTTTGGAGATCATAAATTTATTTATGATATTTTTCAAAGAAAAACTTTCTCATTGTTTGTTTTTCAATTATCTTCAATTTTTAATGTGGATATTTGTAATGTCCCTATCTTTATCAAAACAACCAATATTTATTCACTAGTTGATCAAAATGTAATGCATTCTATTTTATTTTCAGTGGCCTGTAAAAATTGTCTTCCTTTGGTACCGGATCTATGCCCATTCATAATGTTCTGTGATTCCTATTGCCAAAAATACCAGAATGCTACTTTTGGAGTCTGTGGAAGTGATTGCTGTGGATGTATAACTGTTTAAACAACCCCGCCAGAAACATTTTCCACCTGAAGAACATGATAAATTACCAGAATTGAATTTATTAAATCATTATATAGCTATACTTGTGACAAAAAATACTTTTTTGATATTATTAGTATTGTTTAATGCGCCTGAGATACAATTTGTGTACTCAATGAAAAGAATTAAGGTATTAATTATAATGTTTCTGAAGTAAAAATTGTTTGATATTTGAAAACTTTCAAAATTTAGAGTACTTTCGTAAAATTTCTCTCCCTTATCTCTCAAAGTTTTAGAATTCGAGTGATAGCCATTTATTATATAATAATAACCACTGCATTATGTCGTTCAAACCAGTAGGCACTTCAAAAAGAGAAAAATTTATACTGATCTGTCAAATTCCACATAAACGCAGTTTTCCGAATGGAAGAGTTTTCAAACAGTAAAACCGAGTTGAACCTCAAAACGATAAGCTGCCACAGTCCGTCGCGTATTTCTGATATGTAACGCTCTTGGTGGAATCAAATGTGCCAAGTCACTTGAACACTTCACGTGAAAGTATCTAAAGAATAGAGACAAATCCCTTACCTTACTTCAAGGTTCCAGACTATCAAGGTTGCAAGTGATGTTCGCGTCTCCAATCAGGTGGAAGGCTATTTTCTGGATGGAATTTAGCAGCTTCACGATATACTCAAGAGCGGAGCTCCATACATGAGAACAATACTTCAATGAAGGTCTGATCTGAGCTTTATTAAGCATTAAAACTTGCTGAGGTGTATACAGTTTTCAGGTTTCTGGTTCGGAACAGTGTTTCAAGCTTTTGAGAAGCAGTCTTCGCAATTCCAGCGACATGATTGTGCCAAGACATATTGGTGTCCCTTTCAACCCCCAACAAACTCATCGAAGCAGAAAGCGGAAATGTCTATACTGAAATTAATTTATTCCTGGTTAGTTTCACCCCAATTGAAAATCATTTCTAGATCGTTATAAAGAAATGCAATTTCTGCTGCCGGTGAAGATGTGCACTCGCAGCCGATGTACTGGAATCCAAATGGAATGACAAGACAAGTGTGCTGTCGTCAGCAAAGCAATATATTGGGTTCTCCGTTTTTCCCAATAAGTCGTTGATATACAATAAAAGAGAGGGTTGAAGAAAATATGGATCGCTGGGGAACACCAACCTTGGTGATAAAAGTATTCGAGATTGGATATCCATCGACATCCACTTGCAGGGAACGTTCTTTTACGAAGCGGGAGAGCTATACATAAAAATATCCGATAAGCCATAGCATCGAAGTTTGGCCAGCAAACCTTCATGCCACACACGATTGAAGGATTTGGAAATATCAAGCACAAAAGCTCTAGACTATCCATGTTGCTTGATTGCGTTATTCCAAATCGCTTGTTGATCTTTGTTTCCGAAAGCCACATTGATAATAGCTTAAGATATGGTGGTTTACGGCTTTCTCCATGATGCCGTTGTCTGATTGTCTACTGTAGAGTAGATGACCATCACATGAGATATTGAATGCGGGATACGTCACCTACTAGTGTGGTTACAGAGGGGTATTTTCCCTAATAATTTCGTACTGGTCATGTCTGCAATTTCAGAGGACCCGTGGAATTTTCCTCTTCAGGATGTATAAGTACGTGAAAACCTACTTTCCGGAGACTGAGTGTGTACCTACAACTCTTCTCCTTCAATGCTACGTGGAGAATTGAAAATGAAGAAGTTATTATGCGTTTCATTCATTATAGTTACTTAGAATGATTATTGATCGTTTAAACTTGCAAAAACCTTCTTTGCAATATTATTAATTCATACTGATTAGTGATTTATGCGACAGCTGTTGATTAAACAATACCTATTGACCAAGAGTATTAAATCAATTATCATGAACGTATAATTTTTCAAAGCAATTTTCATATTATGTGTACCTGTTTGTTGGCTCCACTAGAAATCATTCTCAGTGTTTTATGTTCATTCAGTTTTCTGTTCTTTGTAACTTATTCAATAATATTCATGCTATATTCAAGAGAGTTGCAAATCCTGTTGCGAAATCTCATATTTATTGATTTATTATTTATTCATATATCTGCTTTTTTTGTTTGATTTCCCATTTCTCGTCAATTTATATAAGTATATTGATTGACTGGTGCACTTTCAGCTCACATAACTATAGAACATCTTAATGTTTCAATCAGATCTCAAGAACACGAATACACGCCTTGAATTTGACGTTGATGAAATTGATGTTGAGAAATTTTTCAGTAAATTCCATTGTTTTTAAGTACAATATATCCTAATTTCGAGGAGGCGATAATTTGCTTCCTAGTTTTCTAGGTTTGTTAACAGAATTAGAAAAACTGAGATGTTACAGGAATAACAGTTTGGTTCATTTAGTAAACCTCTATATTCTCTCAGACTCCTAAGCCATTTTGTAGGACTCGCTTCAGGAGTTGTATATCACCTCCACCTCACTGCAAAATGTATTGGGTGATTTAATTTAATCATCAAAGGAAGTTCACAATCATCTTCCCTTCTTCATGTTATGATCAAACAATTATTAAATATATAAATTGAAAGGGTTATATTTTTAGGAGTTATTAATTTTTGGGAAAGAAAGTTTTCGGCTTCCTTCCTTTCTTTGGAAAATTCACACTTTTTTTGTATCCAGATGGAGTAGCAGAAAGCCAGAAACTTCCTTTCCCAAAAGTTGACCACTCCTAAAAATATAACCCTTTCAACTTGTACAAGATTCCTTTCGGCTGGGGTTTAATCAAATGAGCGAATGAATGTCATTACGATGTCATCGATGACATGAATAAATCAAATTCATTCCGTGGCATGAAATTGTAATTTTAATAATGAATTGTGTATTTTTTCTTATAATGTTATCCAGATTTGTACTGAAGAGCCCAAAGGCAAGAGTCTTACGGTGAAACATCGATGTCTACCAGTAAGGATGACAGTGTTCCATGTAAGTGAAATGTATTACCTTTCATATAGTATATTGTATATAAATCCTGTGAATGATATCTGATTCAGTTCCATAACGAATGTTTGGAATACAAAATGAGTGGAAAAAAGTGTTTTCTGTATAATTCAGTGGTCATTCAAAAGTATTTATTTCGAAAGAATTTTTATTTCGTGTAATTTAAGGTTTATATGGAAGTAGCTGTTTCAGGAGGACTTTTTCTTTCAGTTTGTGTGGAAGTTATTTCTTTACATAATTTACACATCTTTGTATAGAGTTACTTCATTTAAAATTGATTGCTTCTTTACTCTCTTTGAAAGATTCCCACATTTTTTTGTATCAAAATGGAGTAGTAGAAAGCCAAAAACTTTCTTTCCTAATCAATAAATATTCTTGATACTTCATTTAAAATTGATTGCTTCTTTATTCTTTTTGAAAGATTCCCACATTTTTTTGTATCAAAATGGAGTAGTAGAAAGTTAAAAACTTTCTTTCCTAATCAATAAATATTCTTGATACGAGTGTTTATCGAAAAAAAACTCATACAATTATGATAGATATCTGCAAAATGAATCTAATTATCAGCGTTTGTATAATTATGTGTAAGGGCAAAGCCAGTTTGCAATTCGGTTTGTGATCTGAAAGAAGAGATAACTGCTATCAATCCAACAACATTCTCACCTCACAACTAACGTCATACCTTAGGTTGAGACGCGTCTGTTACAGATATGATGTAAGAACTACCAACACATCGAGTTCTCTTTTGACACAAACTTAACCCAAATAAAAGGTTCTCAAACTTTCCCGAACATTGCAATACATTCTCAAATGTTTCGGACTATTCTATGTTATGTTATTTAGAAAAAAATGGTGCATTTTTCATTGATGTGGGATAGAGAGCTTACAGTCGACATTCCTTAAGCGTCAGGTCGTTCAGGTTTATTCCTGAACATTCCACAACAGACTTGAATGTCCTGGACTCTTCTAAAGCTTTCTATAGGGTGAAACTTCCAACCTCTATGCCTGTATTTTCAAAAGAACCCCTTTCAGGTAAAAACGAGAACCTTCTTCATGAAGAAGCTCATGTAACACTATGATAGAAAAATGTAGGTAACTAGTTTATGAATTGAATTAACTCATCCTTTCCACACAATTTCTGAACATTCACTGAATATGTCAAAACATGTTTATTCGATTATTATATATTTTTAAATCTCAGTGATTCATGAACACTTCAGTTTTAAAATATTTACTTATGATTAATTTTGACTTCACGACTTCAACGTAAAAAGATAAAGTGATTTTTAGGAATATAATTAGTCTTATATTATCTTTGTTGCGTCACGATTTGAAATTGTAACAAACTTTCATCAAATTTTTTAATAAAAAATATATTTTCCGCAAGAATATACGAAACATCTACTTTTTGTATCGTTCCTGTGTAGTGTAGTGACTCATACGTAGACAATTTTCATGCAGAGCAAAATACCTATATAACTTGATTTCATTTAGACACGGAGCTTTTCCGAAATGATATAGGATACTGTCACTTTAGCAGTTGATTTATAGGACAGTTTTGCGACTTTTACAACGTGACAATGGAAATTGTAATTAATTATGATTTATTGATTCTGGTTATACTGCCGAATACCGATAGCCAATTAACTAGCAACCGGCCAAAGTCTGTCAGATACACATGTCTAAGTGATAGTTAATTTTTCAATCTTGAAACAAGCCCTCAACCTTAAACGTCATGTCGAAATACAAATTTCGCAGTATTTTGGGATATTGCCGAGTTCAGGTCTCGGCACACTTCAATTTAACTTTTAAATATTCATTAATTCAATGTTAGTACTAGTAATTAAAGGTTGGGTTAGAGGCTAGGTTTGTTAGGAGATCGACTCCGTGTTTCTACCCCTTGGGAGAGTCACCTCTGCATATCAAAGGATGAAAAAGTAAAAAAGTAGCTGATTCACCAGTACGAACTGACAACGGAAAAAAAAGCTACGAGGCGACAAGTGGAATGAGGGTGTGTTGTACGGTCGATCGAGCAGAATAGGTGTAATATATTATTTTGGTTGTGGTTGCGGGATATTTCCATTAAAAATATTATAATAAATAGCTGACTGTTATTTTTATTATTACTATAGCTTAGGTTGAGTTATATTTAAATTGTGCTATTGAACATTTTTATTTATGTTATAGATTCATTGCCTAATTTAGGTCCCGGCGCTTGCCTAGACGGCCTAGAGCAAAACAACTGCAGATATTTGTATGAGTTTCGTAGAGTAATTCTTCAGCAGTACAGAATTAAGTACAGTACAGTCAATTAAGGCAACAATCAGGTACATATTTGATTACATTGAAGTTCTAGTGTTATAGCCTAGTTCACAAATATTATTACAAAACTGTAGCACCAGTATTTATACGGGTAAAAACTTTCAGTTCGATTTGCCTCGAAATATTGAAATTAATAAAACTTCGGGTGATTACGGTTATCACCCGAAGACGATTGTGGATACTAACAATCGAAACGTTTGTTATTAGATAATATTTTTAAATTTTTTAATTTTCAGCTTTTATAAATATTTCAATTTTATTTATATATTTTGGAGAGGGGTTTCTTGGGGTTTGGATTCTTGTTGAATGAAAGTTTCTCCTTTTTGATGTATATAAAGACGTTTCGTCCTCGGTCGAGGACTT